GCTTTGCTGCTGACCTGTTCTCTAAGGAGCCATCCAGAGCTGCCCCTCCTGGTCTTGCTTTCCTGAGGAGGTGCTCAGTGAGCAGCTTGATCCACTTCCTCTGTCCCCCAAAGACTCCTGTCTCCTGGTTCACAGGTCCCTGGTAGAACAGGGGTGGGCTATGGGTGTGATTGGCACCTCAAAGCCCACCTGTCAGAGAACACCAGGAAGAGTGGTTTCGCCCCAGGCCCAACTAACGGGCTTATCAGAAGCAGAATCACACATCGGGGCCTCTGGACTTTGGACCAAGTGTGTGAGGGGTCTGAGGTGTTGGAATCCGCACTGCTGGGAACCTTGGAAGGAGATCCTGTCCTGTGCAGAGTTAGCTGCTGTCCCCCACCCCCCACCTCCACGGGGCCGGATCCAGGTACCCCTGGACGCCACGGCTCTGCCCCCGTTTCACCTCCTTTATCCATGGAGCTGACATCTCTCATTTCCCTCCTGGCAGTTTGGCAGGTTTTTATCACTCCAGTTTTAATGTGCATAGTTGTTCCCTGGGGCATATTGGAGTTTCAGTAAATACACCCCACATGTATACACACAGGAACCAAGCAAGAGTGGGGCTGGCAGAGAAACAGACACACTAGACAGGCACAAGGGTGGGCATGCATGAGTGTACACATACAAACATGGGTACACACTGGTATGCAGTCACATGTGTGCGTACCCACACACCCTAGAGATATACCCTGATTCACAAAGAAAAAAACAACGGGCAAATATAACAGTACACTGAAAGAGACTGCTATATCAAGACAAAATGCCCCTGGCACCTCATAGTGAGCATGCTCCAAGAAAGAGAGTGTGCAGACAGTGGAAGGGCTAAGCACACATCATCCACAACAACGGAAACACTATTGTGCAGACCTAACCATTCACAAACAACCCTGACAGCAGCTAAACTGCACTATATGAGGTTGGCGCAGGACCGGCCATGTTTCCTTCTGTTGTGCCTGGGGCCATTATGAGTGGGAGCCTACTCTACACCAACACCAACAACAAGCTGTTCTGAGTGCTGCTTCTGAGCCAGAGCAGAGCCCTCACCATGTCATTGTACTGTCACAACAAACCTGGCAGAATAATACTATTACCTATGTCCCCAGTTTACAGATTGCAAACTGAGAGCCTGTATCATTGAAGCCAGCCTGTCTCCAACAGCATCACCTACCTCTCTCCACTGTTACCCTCCCTGCATCCTCAGAACACTGGGCCAAGTGCCCTGGGCAAGGTGTCTGCACTTGTTCCTTCTAACTGGCCCATCCCTACCCCTTTTCCTCAAAGCCAGCCTTGGGCACTCCCTTCTCTCCTCAATAGGCTTTTGGGACACCCTTTAGATGCAATTTAGTGTAGCATTTTCATACTTTCATACCCTTTGTATTCACTATTGCGTTCACTCATTCCTTCATTGTCTGACCGGCTAAGATGGAAGGTCTAGGAAGACAGGGTCTTTGATCCTCCTGAATCTCTCGTATGCAGAAGACGGTCTGACTCACATGTTGATACTGTTGTTGGGTGCTGATAATTCTGGCTCATTGTGACTCCATGTGACAAAGCAGAACTACCCCCACAGGCTTTCCTAGACTGTAATCATTATGGGAACAGATTACCTAGTTTTTCTCCCTTGGAGAAAACTGCAGGGTGGGTTTGAACCACCAACTTTTGGTTGGCAGTTGAGCACTTATCCACTGTGCCACGAGGGCTCCTTCCTGATTCATAGAGGCCAGGGGTGGGACACCTTTTTTTCTGCCAAGGGCCATTTGGATAATTATAACATCATTTATCAGCCATACAAAATTATCAAGTTAAAATTAGCCTGCTATAAGTGTAGTGTTGCAGGATAAGGCACTGGACCACAAGGTTGGTTTGAATGGTAAAGTCGGCAGTTTGGATCCATCAGCTTCTCCTCAGAAACCCTATACAGAGTCTCTATGAGTCAGAGCCAACTTGAAGGCACTTACCAACAACAATGTGATGGCTGGAACTGTGGTGGCTTTGGCAAGGCCAGACCAAAGGATTTTGCGGGCACTGTAGGATAATGCGCTAGACTGCAAGGTTGAACCAAAAGGACAGAGATTCAAACCCAGCAGATGCTCCTTGGAAACCCTATACAGGGTCGCTATGGGTCGGAACCAACTCGATGGCACTTAACAACAACAATACAGTCTGCAAGACAGACATTCCCCACCTCTGATATAAGTGCTCAATAAATGTTTGTTGAGTGTTGAATGAATGAGGTTCTGAGGATTTAGTATCTTGTCTATGGTGTGTTGCTGTAGGATAAGCACTGAGTCACAAGGTCAGTTTGAACTGCAAATTCAGCGGTTCAAACTCATCAGCCGCTCCTTGGAAACCCAATACAGGGTCGCTGAGTCCGAACCGACTTGATGGCACTTAACAGCAATGATCATAGCCAGGAAATGTGTGGCATTTGTGGGTACACACAGGTGTGTATGTGTGCTTGCACATATGCAAGTCCAGTCCCTGCCTCTATCCCTTACCCACCCTTCCTTACGCCGACAGTGAGCTGGTCTTTTTCCAGCACGTGGACAGAGGACGATTGGACCGCAAGAAGAGTTTCAGATATCAGTGGGGAAGCCAAGCCAACAGCTATCTCGGGTAAACGTTCAACTACAGATTCACTAATTACTTTACAGCTACTAAAATATGATTCAAAATATTTCTCCTGCTTGTCAAACTTGCCTTCCTATGCTATGTTCCCCAGTGTGGGCTCAGGAAATCAGAAGGTTGGTAGAAGGAGCAGAGGACAACATCACTGTCCATGGGTTGAGAAGGAACGGAGGAGAGTTTAGCAGAAAGGGCAGCCCTTGCTTTCCTGATTCGTCCAAGAAGTGAAGAGGAGTATTTTCCTGTTCCCCAGACAATACCCTATCATTCGCTGACTTTCTGTTGTTGTTAAGCGCTATGGAGTCGCTTCCAACTCATAGCAACCCTGTATAGGGTTTCTGAGGAGAGGCTGGTGAGTTGGAACTGCTGACCTTGAGGTTAGCATTTCAGTGCTTATCCTACAACTAACTACTAGAAAATTCCCCACCTCTTAGTACATTCCACTCACCTACCATCTCTAGTCATCGTGTCGGCACCATCTCCAGGCAGGAAGCCCCAGCCTAAGGTGGTTCTTAACCATGAGGCTTGAGGCTCCAATTCACTGGCCCCTGAGTCAAGGTCTGTGGGGCTGGGGTTGCTAGCAAGATCCTCTACAAGGAGCAATCCCAAAATGGCGAACCCCTGGGTCCAATATGTTTCCTTTCCAATCGATCCAAACTCATCCAAACCCATCCAGCCACATCTGGATGGATAATGACTATGCTATTAGGGAAGGAAAGTGAGAAAGGGCCCAGAGCCAGAACCCCTTGAATGGAGGGGAGTTGAGAAGCATAGTGCTCCAAGCCCTGCTCATGACCAGAGAAGGCGGCCATGGGAGATTTCCACAGCTCATCATTTCCATCTTTAGAAACCTTTAATATCTTATGTCCTTCCTAGATTCAGAAATCTTGGTTCTCAGGTCAGGCAAAAATTCCTATATGGTCAATGTCTTGGGGAAATCTTGGGTTTGCTCGAAAGGATTCATTCCACCAAAGAAAACTGTTTCCTTCCCCTCAGCTCCTAGGATCTTGAGGGAAACAGGAAATGTGAAGTGTGGGTCCCACTAAAACAGCGACATACTCATGCCCACCAACTTCTTACCAGCTTAGGAGTACCCGTTCCCAGACCCACACGCTACAGGCTGCCCCCAGTCATAGCAGCCAACACTAGAGGACCACAATGGGTCCCACTGTGACTAGACCCAGGAGAATGAGGAGTCCCACACCCCGAGAAGATGTCATCACTCTCTTGGGAAGGGTGGAGCTGCCACTGGCTGCCAGGACATAATGAACAAGCCCCGTGGGTGGTATAATGTGGCATTCATCTCCCCAGCTACACTGAGAAGGGGCAGGCTGGAACAATCTAGACTCTGTCTCCAGGTCCTCCAGGGAGTTCAGGCCCCTGATGGAATGAATAAGAGGGGGACTCGGCTCCCCATGGCTGCTGTCTAGACATATACATATTCATGGCCTGGAGGGAACCACTGTCCTACAGAGAGAGGGCAGGAGCAGTGCTGAGCCCCTCTAGGGTGGGGTGGGAGCACTCAAGGCAGTGAATTAGGAGACCCCAGGAAGTACCCTCAAATACATGGGGAATCCAAGGTCTGCGGCAGACGCATGACTCCTCGCTGGAGCCCAGAGACCTCTGAACTTATTTAGTTCTCAGCTGAGTATCAGAACCAATCCCAGCTTTGGTGCTGGACTATAAGGTCAGTCTGAGCCACAAGGTCAGCAGTTCAAACCCACTAGTCACTCCTCGGAATTCCTATACAGGGTGGCTGTGAATTGGAACCGACTGGGCAGCACTGACAAGAGCAACAATCTGCTAACAGTGGTCGCTGAACCCAACTTGCTCTTCCTGGCTTGGCTTCCAGAAATTCCCTCGAGAGTTATCGGTGTCCAGAAAGGCTCAGGACACTTGATGTACCATTGCGATACACACAAAGAGGTCCAGTTCTCTGAACCTTCCAAGATGTCCCTCTAACTAAGCTCTCTAACAACAAATCCTTGCCCACCACAGGTGCCCCTATGGGGCCAGGAAAGTGACTTTGTATAGGAAAATCTGAACCTAGGAAGAGACATCTGCCTTGCTTCTTCAAAAGCAAGTATTTTCTGGTCCTGAACCCATACACACCATGATTTAGAAGTTAGCAGATTTGTTCTAGATGCACCGATATTTTAAATGTCTCATTCCCTAGCTCAGTCTCTAGGCAGCCTAAAGGAAAAGACACACACAGAGCCAAATAAGTCACCAGTCTACAACGGGCCACCTGTAGCTGCCCACAGGCTGGTGGTGCTGAGCCACTGTGCAGAAGACATATGCTGGTACAATGCTCAGGAGCATGCTCTGAGTCTTACCTGCCTCTCCGACATGATGTAGAGCTGTTCGTGGTCCTTGGAAAAGGCCATATCCCGGAGAACAGGGCCCGGGTCTACCACCTGCACTGTCTCATACTGGTGGGCTTTGCCATTGGGACCATCAACACGGATCTGTGGAGAAGCGGAAGAGAAGAATCAATGTGAGTTCAGGTTCAGCATCATCCAAGGTTAAGCTTCAGCCCTGAAACCTCCCTGCCCCCAGAAGCCAGGTACAGGAGCAAATGGCACACACCATAGGGGAAGGAGGGCTCATGTTGGGAGGGACAAAGAAAAGGGAAGGGAGTCACCCAACTGGGCTTTCCCAAGATTCTAGTCTTGTTTTGTCTGGTTCCATATGCCTCCAGCTTAGCCTTTGAGGTCTTGCGTGTCTCTCTTTGGAGATGGGAATGGGGCTGTTATTGGAGAAAGAGCAAGGAATTAATGAATGGTGCATAAATGAGGTTGCCTTAGCAACTGTAGTAAAGCAACAGTATTTGCTGCATTTGTTAGCAGAAGAAAATGTGGTGTAGGGATGTGGAGCGAGCCTTTGAAATTTGCTGTCTAGAGATCACTGTGGTCCTGTGGCCAAGAAACAGGCAAAAGGCCAAGCCAGGAGCTATGCACCAAGTGGTCTCATTTTAGCCATTGAAACCACTGGCTGATACGTCAGACTTTGGAGTCAATATTGGGTCCTGGGATCCCCAGGGAAGAAAAATGTGCTTCAGACATGAGTCATGTTCAAGCTTGTGAGGACACAGAGCAGAGTGGATCATCCCTGGACCATCCCCAAACCTTCTCTAGAATGGCTTAGATGATCGAGAGACGATGAAAACAACATTGTCCATACTACTCGTGAGTGAGGACCGATCTCAGAAAGATATGGGCTTCAAAGCCTTCCATGATGAAGCTCATGGGCCCCGAGCGCTGGCCCCTGCCCCTAGAACCACCTCAAGTCTTAGTATGCAGCTCCAACACAACCACGCCCAGTGAGTCCCCCACATAAGTAAGAACCAAATGTAGGAGAAGTAGGAACACCAGAGGAAAACAGGGAGCAGTGATAGCCAGGGAATTGTCAAGTTTGACAACCAAACCAAGTTTGGCTAAATGGCATTAGTATAATACTAATACATCCATGGAGTTTTGGTGTGGCACTATAGGATGAGCACTAACAGGCTAACTGCAAGGTCAGCAGCTCAAACCCACCAGCCACTGCGCAGAAACCCTATACAGGGTCACTATGAGTCAAAACTGAATCGGCAGCACTTAACACCAATACGTTTACAGAGTAGCTCAGTGATTTTAATAACAAACTAAAAACACAATCACATTCCAAATATTCCTATTATGTCCTTGTTTTAAAGTCTCACTATTTACTGTTTACTCTCTCATGAGATTAAGGAAAAGCAAAAATTTTTAAAAAGTTATTTATTCAGAGGAACTAAATAGCAGAAAGGAGATTACAGTCATGACAACTGCTCATGTCCGTTCACCTGAAAGCATGCCTGATCATTTTTCTGTTGAATTCACTCACTTCTGACATGAGATTAGGTCGATATCAGGTTTGTTCATATCTTGTTTATTTCTCTTTTGAGCATTGTTTTTAGGCCCTTCCCAGGTATCAGACCACCACTTGTCTGTGAGTTTGTCACACTGTGGTGGCTAGTGTGTTGCTGGAAACTATACCGCCAGCATTTTTAAATGCCAGCAGGGCCACCTGGTATGGCACTCACTCTAGGATAAGCACTGAACTATTTACTACAAGCTCAGTAATTCAAACCCACCAGACACTCATTAAAAACCCTATGCTGTTGTTCTCAAGTGCTGTTGACTCAGTTCCGACTCATAGTGACCCTGTATAGTTTCTGAAGACGGACTGGTGGTTTTGAACTACCAGACTTGTGGTTAGCAGTCCAATTCTTATCTTACAATGCTACACTAGGACTCCTGAAAACCCTATACAGGATTGATATAAGTCAGAGCCACCTCCATGGCACTTAACAGTAGCAACAAAGGGTTCCCTCACGGTGGACAGGTTTCAGCTGAGCTTCCAGATTAAGACACACTAAGAAGGAGAGAGAGATTACTTCTGAATGTTTAGCTACTGAAAACCTTATGAATAACAGCTGAACACTGTCAGATATAATACTGGATGATGAGCCCCTCAAGTTGGAAGGCACTCAGGAAGAGCTGCCTCCTCAAAGAAGAGTTGACCTTAATGATGGGGATGGAGCAAAGCCTTCAGGACCTTCATTTGTTCACGGGGCACAACTCAAACTGAGAAGAAATGGCTGCAAATATCCATTAATAATCAGACCGTGAAACGTACAAAGTATGTAAGTAGGAAAGTTGGGAGTCATCAAAAATGAAATGGAACTCATAAAGATTGATATCCTAGGCATTAGTGAGCTGAAATGGACTGGCATTGACCATTTTCAATCAGAATGGTTGATTATGCAGGGAATGGCAAACTGAAGAGGAGTGGAGTTGCAGTAATTGTCCAAAACAGCATTTCAAGACCTGTCTTGAAGTACAATGCTGACTGTGATAGGATAATGTCCATATGCCTACAAGGAAGAACAGTTAACACAACTATTCAATTTAGGTACCAACCACTAAAGTCAATGATGACAAAATGGAAGACTTCTATCAACTTCTTCAATCTGAAACTGATCAGACATGCAATCAAGATGCATTGATAAATACTGGTGATTGGAATGTGAAAGTTGGAAACAAAGAGAAAAATCAGTAGCTGGAAAATATGAACTTGGTGACAGAAATGATGCTAGAGATCGTATGATAGAATTTTGCAAGACCAATGACTTGTTCATTGCAAATACCTTAAACAACACAAAAGGTGAAAATCATCAAACATAATACCCATGAACCAAATGACTCCATCTGTGGGAAGAAACAACAGACATGCTCCATATCATCGGCCAAAACAAGGCCAGAGGCCGACTATGGAATAGGCCACCAATTGTTTATATGAATGTTCAGGCTGAAGCCGAAGAAAATGAAAATTAAGTCCACAAGAAGCCAAAATATGACCTTAAATACATCCTACCTGAATTTAGAAACCATCTCAAGAAGTGTTTTGATAAATTAGACACTAATGACCAAAAACCACAAGAGTTGTGGAATGGCATCAAGAACATTAAATATGAAGAAAGTGAAAAATCATTTAAAAGACAGGGAAGAATTCAAAGACCAAAATGGATATCAGAAGAGACTCGGAAACTTGCTTTTGAGTATAGAGAAGCTAAAGCAACTACAATAAACAAGGAAGTATAAGAGCTGACCAGAATATTTCAAAGGCCAACGAGAGAAGACAAAGTCAAGTGTTATAATGAAACATGCAAAGACTTGGTGAAGAACACGCTCAGAATTTCTTAAACTGAAAGAACTGAAGACAAAATTCAAGCCTGTTGTCATTGTTAGGTACCATCGAGTTGGTACCGACCCATAGTGACCTTATGCGCAGCAGAACTAAACAGTTGGCCCGATCCTGGGCCAACCTCGCTACTATTGCCACGCTTGAGTCCATCGATGCTTCCACATGGCCAATCCATCTCGTTGGGGGTCTTCCTCTTTTTCTCTGACCCTCCACCTTGCCAAACATGATATCCTTCTCCAGTGACTGGTTCCTCCTGACAATATGTCTGAAGTATGAGAGACAAAGTTTGGCCATCCTGGCCTCTAAGGAGAACTCTGGTTGCACTTCTTCCAAAATGGATCTATTGGTTCTTTTGGCAGTCCATGGCACTTTCAGTATTCTTCAACACCACAACTCAAAGGCATCAATTCTACGATCTTCCTTATTCACTGTCCAGCTTTCGCATCCATACGAGGCTACTGAAAATACCATGGCTTGGGTCAGGCGCACCTTAGTCCTCAAGCTGACATCTCTGCTCTTCAATACTTTAAAAAGTTCCTGTGCAGCCGATTTGCCCAATGCAATACGTCATCTGATCTCTTGACTGCTGCTTCCGCGAGTGTTGATAGTTGATCCAAGAAGAATGAAGTCCTTGACAACTTCAATCTTTTCTCCATTGATAGGAATGTTGTTTATTGGTCCAGTGGTGAGGATTTTTGTTTTCTTGACATTGAGATGCAATCCATACCGAAGGCTGTGCTCTTTGATCTTCACCAGTAAATGTTTTAAGTCCTCTTCACTTTCAGCAAGCAAGGTTGTATCATCTGCATACAAGCAAGCAAGGTTGTTAAGGAGTCTCCAATCCTGATGCCACATTTTTCTTCATATAACCGGACTTCTCGTATTATTTGCTCAGCATACAGGCTGAATAAGTATGGTAAAAGAACACAACCTTGTCGCACACCTTTTTAAATTTTAAACCAATCAGTGTTTAAAGAATTCTATGAGCAATATAGAGTCCTGGTGTGGTGCTGTGTGTTAATGCGCTGAACTGCAAGGTCGGTGGTTCAAGCTCACCAACTGCTCCTCAGGAACCCTGTACAGGGTCGCCATGAGTCGGAACCAACTCCACGGCACATAACCAACACCACCACCACCATGCCTCTACTGCAGTCCTGGTGTGGCCCTGTAGGATAAGCACTAAACCACAAGGTCAGTTTGAACTTTTGAACTGCAAGGTCAGTGGTTCAAGCTCACCAGCTGCTCCTCAGAAACCCTGTACAGGGTTGCTATGAGTCAGAACCAATTCGACAGCACTTAACAAGAACAACAACATGAGCAAAATACTGAATAATGCAGCATGCATCAAAAGAAGGTGGCAAGAATACACAAAGTCTCTGTACCAAAAATAACTGGCTAATGTTTAACCGCATCAAGAACTGATGGTGTTAAAGGAGAAGTACAAACTGCACTGAGCGCATTGGCAAAAACAATAAAATAAAAAGAAAAGGTTCCTGGACTTGACGGAATACAAATTGAAATCATTCAATAAACTGATGCAGCACTGGAGGAGCACACGAGTCTAAACCAAGAAATTTGGAAGACAGGGACCTGGTCAACTGATGGGAAGCGATCCATATTTATGCCTATTGCAAAGAAAGGTGACCCAATGGAAAGCAGAATTCATGGGAAAATATGATTAATATTAACTGCAAGTTAAATTTTACTGAAGATAATTCAAAAATGATTGCAGCAGTATATCAACAGGGAGCTGCCAGAAATTCAAGCCGGATTCAGAAGAGGATGAGGAGCGAGGGTATCATTGCTGATGTCACATAGATCTTGGCAAAAAGTAGAGAATACCATAAAAAGATGTTTACTTTATTGACTATGCAAATGCATTCAATTGCAGGAATCATAACAAACTCTAGATATCATTGTGAAGAACGGGCATCCCAGAACACTTAATTGTGCTCATGAGGAATCTGCACATAGACCAAGAGGCAGTCATTCAAACAGAACAAGAGGGTACTAAATGGTTTAAAATTAGGAAACACATGTGTCAGTGTTGTTTTCTCTCACCATATTTATTCAATCTGGATGCGGAGCAAATAATCTCATAAACTGATTTATATGAAAAAGAACATGGCATCAGAATTGGAGGAAAACTTATTAACAACCTACGATATGCAGATGGCACAAGCTTGCTTGCAGGAAGAGGAATTAAAAGAGTTACTGATGAAGATCAAAGACCACAAACTTCAGTATGGATTACACCTCAATGTACAGAAAACAATAATCTTCACAACTCAACAAATATATAACATCATGATAACTGGAGAAAAGATTGAAGTTGTCAAAGACTTCATTTTGCATGGATCCACAATTAACACTCATGAAAGCAACAGTCAAGATATCCAAAGATGTAGTACACCACGCAAATCTGCTGCACAAGACCTCTTTAAAATGTTGAAGAGCAAAGATGTCAGTTTGAGGACTAAGGTGCACCTGACCCAAGGCATGGTATTTTCAATAGCCTCATATGCATGTGAAAGCTGGACAGTGAATAAGGAAGACCATAGAAGAATTGATGCCTTTGAATTACAGTGTTGGTGAATAATATTGAAAGTACCAAGGACTGCCAGAAGAACAAACAAATCTGTCATGGAAGAAGGACAGCCAGAATGCTCCTTAGAATCCAGAATGGCGAGACTTCATCTCTTGTACTTTGGACATGCTATCAGGAGGAATGGGTCCTTGATGAAGAACATCATGCTCAGCAAAGTGGAGAGTTATCGATAAAGAGGAAGACCCTCAACAAGACGGGTTGACACAAAGACGGTAGCAATAGGCTGAAACACAGCAATTGTGTGGATGGCGCAGGACTGGGCAGTGTTTTGTTCTGCTGTGCATAGGGTCACCGTGAGTCGGAACCATCTGGATGACACCTAACAGCAACACAGTCAGGCACTACAGGGGATGGTTTTACCCATCATTCCTAATTCATATAATCCTCTCAATCCTACAGCTTAGTGTTCGTTTGCCACAATTTGCAAGACCTTTCCAGCTGTCTACCATCCTCTCCTCCCAGGCCACTCACTGACAGATGTAAACAAATCAGCTTCACCTCCCTCTCCTTCCACTGTGATTGGCAGGAAACAAATTTATACTAACCAATCAACACAAGGCAGTTCCCTGGCTACAGTGGTTGGTTCATGGGATGCATTCAGGGCCCAGCAGGGGGTTTTGTTTCATGGATGGAGAAGGAGATCTCCTCTCTCCCTTAGTAAACCCGAACACTAAACCAGTGGCTGTTAAATTAACTGTGATTCATGGTAACTCCATGTGTGTCAGGATAGGACTGTGTTCCACAGGATCTTCAACGGCTGAGTTTTCAGAAGATTACCAGGCCTGGCTTCTAAGGTGTTTCTGGGTGAACTCAAACCACCAACCATTAGGTCAGCAGTCGAATGTGTTAATCACTGCACCATTGAGGGATTTTTCTTCCTTTGTAGGATCAAAGAAACATGCAGCTCAGACCTCTTATGGCCAGGATGGGAGCGGGAATAGGGAAGGTCAAACAACAGATGGAAAAACTATGGCATGTAATAATGTTGAGCTGTTGGCCTATGTCTGGATTTCTTAGTTACTCAAGATACTTCCTTACTGTTAAAGTAAGATCCCCTCTGCTCTTTGGAAACATCAAACGTCTTAACATCTACACAGATGACAGATGGGGGAAGGAGACGCAGGTACATTAAACACGTGGCCTGGGTTTTACTATAAAATGTGGGGGCAGAAATTAGAGCCCAGGTTCAGCTCTGAAGTCTATGTTTTTCCTATCACCACAGAGAAGTGAGAAAACTTGTACCTCGTGGAATGTGTTGGCTCCTTCCTGGTCAGTGCACATGGATAGTGCTGGCTGAGGTCAAGACCGTTTTCTGGTCTCTAAAATTCCACAGAATTTGCTATTCATTCCTGGTCTTGATGCACATATACATAAGTTTGACAAGTGTTTATTAAAAGAATGAGGAAATTCGTCAATGAAATTACAACTCCTCTTTTTGCTGGCTCCCCTTAAACAAATAAATTTTAAAAAACAAACATAAAAAAAGGCATTTAAGGAAGAGAGGTATGCTTAGTCTTAAAAATAAAAATGTCTTGGATTCCAATAGCTTTTCTTTTCCTTGCCCACCCCCAAGTAACCAAATGTCCACTCTGGCCAGGTTCTTTCTTAATCTCAATGAAAATGGGAGTTTGCACAAAACCAATTGGGATTACCACCCAAGTCTGACCAGTGGTGATGGCTTTGGCCACTGGCCCAGCCAGGCTTCATCCCTAGAGGTGAGTTCTGGAGCCACAGTACAAGAATGACACCGAGACACCTGGCTGGTCTCCAGCTACCCAAGGCTGGTGGCAAGGGCAGGCCTCTCTAGAGAACGCAGGTGGAACTAAGCCCATCCAGTGCTCCTTGGTCTGATCGCCAAGGAAAATTGGATTCGGTCCTTGAGCAGCCTTCATTATCACTTGGCCCCAACTTTTCTGCTCTTCAGAATGAAGCTGGGTATAGGTAGACATCTGAAGAAGCCAGGTGACCCAGTGGGGGGTTCATGGGGCATGATTTCATATGCCTGGCCTTCCCCAAGGAAACTGGAGGGGCTGCGTGGCCCATACTCTGTAGAATGGCAAACAAGTAATTGGAAAGGCGTTCCTCTCCAGCTTGTTTCAGAAGCCAGACAGAAAAGCATTCATTTATCCTTCTGCTGAAAGATTCTCACACTACAAAGATGCCTAAAAGGAGTTTATAGTGAGAATGGCTAAATGTTTGACAGACCTTCATAAAATCTAGGTAGGTAGGATGTATCTGCTGCCAGCTCTTGGATTCTTATGTAGAGAATGATGACAAGAGATGGTAGTTATTGACACGATCCTCAACATTTTACACATATTTTCTTTTTCACGGACATCCATAGCTTGCCAAATAAGCAGTAGTACTACCCACCCCCATTTAGAGGGAAAGCACAAGAAAGGTTAGGTAACTTGTTCTAGGATATATATCTGGTGAATGGTAATGCATATCTCATGCCACGGTCTGGCTGTCTCTGGTGTCCAGGTTTTTATGTGTTTATATTCAAGGAATCAAAGAAATTGATGTTAAACCAACATCCCCTTGAGGTGAGACAGGTGATGAATCTACTGCTAACCTCTTTCGGGAGATAAATGTGCACGTGAATGAAGAAGATGCTGGTGTAAATTTTCAAAATAGCAATCCCTTCTATTTCTGTTTCATACCTTAAATAACACTGTCTTGTCTGATGGCTGTACCATTTTTATGATGCTGACTGCCAGCATCATATTGCTCATCTTACCGATGACGATACTGAGATCGGAGCTGTTATTTGCCCAAGTTCAAGGACACACCAATGACAGAGTTATACCCAGGTCTCCCAATTCCTAGCTCAGTGCTTAGTTCTAGCTATTTAGACTTTTTTCTCCAGAAGCCCTTGACAAGGCTCCACATCAAAAGGTATTTAAAAATAATAAGTCTCTAAGGGACTTCTGGTAGTTTGGTCAGGGAGAGGGAACTGTCTCAGAGACAGAAAAAGGCACATTTCTGAGTCCAGACGTGGAACTGGGGGATACTGCAAATGTGGGTCTTATTGTTGTTGTTAAGTGCCATCGAGTCGATTCCAACCCATAGCAATCCTGTATCAGGTTTCCAAGGAACAGTTGGTGAGCTTGAACCACCGACCTTACAGTTCAAATGACTTTGCAGCCTAACGCATTAGCCCACAGTGCCACACAAATGCGGCTCTTCTGACGAGTGTTGTTTAAGAATTTTTATAAAACGTCTTGAAGAGGGATCAGGAACATATGCAGCTGATTCTAAGATCTCTGGGATGGCAAAAGAACCAACAACAGTGATGAGCTGCTGGGAGATGGCAAACTCCCTGAATGGGAACAGAGATGGTGGAGGAGTTACAGATGGGTAAGTAGATTTGGGACTATCGAAAGTCTCTTGAGGGCAGAGATCTTACCCAACTTCTTCAGCACTGACTCCCCACTCCCCAGCATGGTACCCAGGCCTGGCTGGTGCCCAACAAATACCCAGTACCAGTGGCCATCCAGTCAACTGACTCATAGTGACCCTATGTGTGTCAGAGTAGAACTGTGCTCCATAGAGTTTTCAGTGGCTGAGTTTTCATAAGTAGAACACCAGAGCTTTCTTCTCAGATGCTTCTGGGTGGACTTAAACTGCCAACCTTAAGTCCTGGTGTAGCACTGTAGGGTAAACACTCGACCACAAGGTTCAAACCCATGAATTGCTCCTCGGAAATCCTTTACAGTGTTGCTATGAGTCAGAACCAACTCAACAGCATACACTTCACAACAACAACAGAGTATGTTAGCTATTTGTATCATCCAAGGACTCTATCCAATGACCAACTCCCTCTGGGAGTAACAACTCACATTCTACCAATCAGACGATAGACTCTGAGCTGCCAGCTGTGATCAAGGTAAGAGGTAGAATCACTGAAGGAGATCTGTGAGTTACAATCACTGTCCCCATGTTCCAAGGCAGTTCAAGGGGCCAGGCAATGTCAGGCAGCATTGAGATGAAATTTCAGGAGAGCATCATCTGGACCAAGCTCACTTGGTCACTGAACCTCACCAGGAATCCATTTGTCATCAGGTAGAAACCTAATCCAGATATAGGTGGAAGCCCGTAGTTCATGAATGGACTACAAAAGACCTCCCCTCCACCATCCACAAAGAAAGAGTTAATATGGAAGGAGTCTAACGTCTGTGGGCACCTTGACTGGATCAATCACTCACTCAGGGCCTCCCCAAACTCTGAAGTGATTGATACACTCAACGAGAATGGGGCCACAAAAATACCAACCTTCACAGAACTCACTCTGGACCTGAACTCTATGGTTGTGCTGCACATAAAGCTTCCATGAGCCAGAACCAACTTGATGGCACCTCACAATGACAACAACCACACGTGGAACTGAGCAGGTTCAGGTAAGTGGGCCTGAGTACACACGTGCAAACACACACTCTACTTTCAGGCATTCCCTCCAACTCAAAGCTTCCTGGGCAGCACTGTGTCCTCCCTCCAGCCCTCCAGCATCTCTGGCTCCCTGCCCGTCCACCATCAGCTAGCCATCGCTTCATCTTGGCCACTGCACACACCGGCTCCGCCAGGCAGACTGCTATTAAACCTGCCCCCCGCACAGGTCAGCCATCCGGGGAGCTCCTGGCAGCTGTGTGTTTGTTTATGTGAACATCATCTGGGCCGGGCTGTTTATTTACTTACATTCTTTGAAGGAATGAACAATAAATACCATCTCCAGTAGCAGACAGATGCTGCATTCCAGCGTGGAACAGCCACTGACTGGCACTCACTTCCCTAATGAGCAAACACTGCTTCTTCTCATTAAAGATGCAGCGCCGTCCTGAGGTCCTCCCTGTTGCTCTCGTTTCCTGCTCTGCTCTGCCTGGTCTGCACCTGGACTGGATTCAGAGACCCTGAGGTGAGGGGGTCCTGGCTGAAAGACAGGGCTATAGAGCTGAACTGCAGCCAACGGCTGGGAGCAGATGAAACCACTCTGAGATCTTCCACTGAGCACCTCAGATCTCAAGTAATGTGTGCCAAAGCACCTGGTGACCAGGGTGGGGGACTGGCCACCCCCACTCTCCACCCACCCCACCCACATCCCTGAGGAGCCAAAGCCTGGACCAGGCAGGCCTTGGAAGTGACCAGAACTGGAAGGGATCTTGTGCCAATCAATGCAAATCAGTCCGTTTGCAAAACAGAGACCTCGAAGGTGGACAGGAATCTAAGGAGGACACAGGTAAGGGTGGAGTCCGAGCTCTGCCCTGGGTACCACCTCTCAGAAGCTATGAGCACACGATGCCCAGCCTTGACCCGCGTCCTGCTGAGGTAGAAGTAGTCTTCTATGGACACTGCAGGGCTGTGCTGTCCCTCAGGAAGGGACGATGGACGAACTGCCTGCTTCTCAGTTGACCCGGCAGTTCCAGCTGGCACAGCCCTGGATGATGCTCAGCATCTTGACCCCCAGGTTGGAGAGGTAGGAGGAAGGGAGGAGAGGGCTGGCCACAGAGCCCGCACTGACTGACACACAGCAGGTACGTGTGGCTGTGATGGGTGAGTGAGTGGGTGGATGGGTAGTTTGGAAAGATAACTCTGTGTCTGAGTTGTTTGTGGGGAAATTCCATTATCATCCAATCTCATTGCTCCACAAACTTTTTGAAGCCCTTTCATTTCTACGCATGCACATAGCCACAGCCACAAACACGCATATACACAACACATATGTGTGCACCCAACACACATGCAGGTATGTACCCACGTACATATAGGCACACATATACACATGTGTACGCACTCAGTTACACACATACATGTATATGCACACAAAACAGAGCATGCACATACTTATCGACACTCCTGTCATGCAGACACATATATATGTATATATACACATGTACAGAAATACAAACACACGCTCAGCCACAAAAGTGCACATGCATATACAGAAAGACACTTACAGTCCCACATGCACATGCATCCACACGCACACATATACTCACACGTACAGGCACACGTGAACACATATACACACGTGCACACACACACGTACAGAGCCATGCATGCACACATATACATGAACACACATTATTTTTCTCTCCCTTTCTAAAGGTGGGCTTGGTCCACTCACACACAGCCTCTAGTATTTACCTTTAGGGTTCTAGGACAATGCGAGGGAGGGTGGACAATTCAGGTCCCACAGGGCAGAGTGTTGGTGATCAGCACCCAGAAAAGGCAGAAACCAACATGGGCTGGAGGCCAGCAGGAGTGAGTGCTGATACTCACTGTCTTGGGAACTGACTAGTTGTGGGGTTTGCCACCTAGGGAAGGGGTCCCTTCACTCCCTGCTGGTCCCTGTGGGAGAGCTGCCTAAGCCACAGGTGTCCCAACCAAACCCACTGCCCTCGAGTCCTCTGTGACCATGACAAGCCTGTAGGACAGAGCAGAACTGTCTCATAGGGCTTCCCAGGCTGTCATCTTTATGGAAGCTGACTGACATGACTTTCTCCTGTGGAGCCCCTGGTGGATTTGAACCACCACCTTTGGTGGACAGTGGAGCACTTTATCCACTGTGTTACCAGGGCTCCGTGCCCACCTGGAACCTCAGAATGGGACCTTGTTTGGAGATAAGATCCACGCAAATGTCATTAGTGTGGGTTCCCAGGAGGCATCATCCTGGATTAGGGTGGCCCTAAATTCAATGGCTGGTGTCCTTGTCAGAGAAGGGGACACAGAGACAGGACGCAGGAACAACGGTCATATGTAGTCCGGGGTCAAGAC